GCAAGACCTTCTGCAGAGAGTACAAAATAGTCATCAATGACCAATCCAGAAACTGGAGAGTTGTGCAGGATAGAGGAATTTGCGCAAAGGCGGTTTTCTGAGGGATGGCATCCACCTTCCTCTAACATAGCTTCATGGGCACAGCATGCAAACTCAACTCCTAGATGGTCTCCTTGGAAAAGAGCCCCAAAAGCTGCATACACCATCGAGTCATCGCTTTTGCTGACCAACAGCGGCTTCGGCATGCCCAGGAAGTCCCCCATGTCCTCTCGCGAGTGGGCGCTTCTCTTTCCATGATCTTGGAAATCCTCGCAAAACCGGTCATAGGCCATCGTGCCACTGAAATCTCGGAGAGGAAACGGAGGATAAAGAGTGTTCGATGCTGCACGTTCGTAGGAGACGGAGAACTGGTGGTAGAAGTCCCGCCTGTCTGCCACAGCTCCCACAATGACCTCCTCAAAGCGTTTTGCCTCTATCTGCAACAGAGCCGTGGCATTTGGGATGTTGTGAGAGGGACCCTCAAGAATCCTCCCTTCAACATAGTTCCTGCCACGACGATCTCCAATCTGTCGGTCGACATCTCTATTTTTCAGATTGCCAAAAACCTTTGTGTGTAGAAAGAGCTGATCTTCCTTTGGCCCATGTGACATAGGAATGAGCCGCAGCAGGCCATTTGCATCCCATACTCTGCAGAGATCTCGGACCTGTTCTACATCACATTCACGAACATCTGGAAAGGATCCTGCGGGAGGACGAACATCAAAACGATTGACATCCGGCTCAACAAAGGGCATGTACAAGAGATCAGAGAGGAATTCACGACAATCCCAGTCCCCTCTCCCAGAGAGCCTGATCCTTGAAGCTGTAAGTGGCCTGTAAGGGCGGAGCTCTTCACAAATGTCATTGTCCTCAGGCACGATTTGGCCGGAGGCTCCTCTGTGGTAGAAGGAGGAAGCATTCAAGCCCAGCTGTTGTATGGCGTCGCCCAACTCCTTCAATCTTGCATCTAATTTGAAACTCTTACGGCCCATACCACCTATGGAAACTGTAGATGGGGGGCCGCTCGCTCTGAAAAGCGCCATGACTCGATCATAGACTTCTTTGTGTCTTTGAGAGGGGCGCCTCCGGATCAGGGCCAGAATGGACATAGGATCACGGAAGTGCTCAAAGTTCATTGCCATGATGGTCAAATGCATCAACTTCTGCAAAGCTCTGGCACGTCTCTTCTTCTGGCTAAGCCGACCCAGGCCATCCTCAAAAGCTGTAATGAAAGGCAGCGGGATGGGAAACAGAGCGGTAGCGACGCTGCTCAATCTGCCGTCGCGGCTGGCTGAAATAGTCCTCATAATAAAATAAGAGAACTTTGTCCTGGCACCCAAAACACATCGTACAAAATGATGAACCCATGCTGTAAGACTCACAGGCGACATCAAAGTACGGTAAGATATAGGCTCCTGCACAGGACATGTTGCACCTAATTCAGGTTCGAGCCGATCTTGATCATCATCTTTCACATTGTCCAGATGAGCCAAGTAAGAACCACTTTCCGGCAACTGCGGCATGCGCCCACCCACTTCAAATGGCATGCCGTTATATCCAACCTGACCCCGCATCGGAGGTCTCATAGAGCCACCACCGTGAGGAACACCATCGTCCGTCCCCTGCCCACGCTTCTTTCCCCTCTCAGGATTCCCCCGACCGTGTAAAGCGGAAGGCCGCTCTGAGGTAGGAGTGCTCGGCAAGGGGCCATCCAGAGAGGTACCAGAAGCAAGGCCACCACTGCAATTGGCCTGGGCTAGGACTGACCGGTGTCCGTGTTGGGCTGAGCCGCCTTTGCCTTCGGGAACCTGCCCTTTCGCTTTGGATTTGTCTGACTTGGGTTTGGTGATTGCTGTGCACCGGGCTTCTGATGTGTCAGCTCCTGCCTTTTTGTCTGTATGTAGTCCATCTCTTTGGAGTAGGCCAAAGCAACAGTGGTCCACTGCTGAGGAGCCAAGGACGAGAAGCTCTTTGCTCGAGGGTCGAAGCTCTGGTTGCGATAGCTCCAGAGCTGAGAAGGAGGTTCTTCGAGCAACATCATCCGGTATGCCAGCTCCCATCGGTTCCCATCCAGATTTGCCTGGTCCACACCAACCATGAGGAGGGCCAGGTAGTCCCTTGCTCCATTTAGATCCGAGTGGACAAGAGCATCGCAGATGTGCGCAAGGGCATACTGGATCAACCCCAACTCTTTGAACTGTCCGTAGCCGCCGAACCGTTCCAAATACTGAATCATCGAGAAATCCGTAGATGCGACCTCCTCGACCGAGCTGGGTTTGGGACTTGCCGGCTTCAGACGCTTCGCAGCATTTTGCAGCACAGCAAGATAGAAATTGCCTGACTTCATGGCCAACTCCTTCTGCAGCTTTTCGCGACCAACCGAGCCTCTCGTTCCTAACGAGCCGCTGGATGAGGAGCCCTGCCCGTCGAGAAGTGGATCGCCAGCCTGTTGCATATGAGATACCAATGTCATCAAGGCCTTGCTTTGTTCCAACATTGCCCTGGCAAACGGGTCCGCTGATGCTAAGGGGCTCATCTCCTCTGCTTGCTCCTGCGGCTTCACGTTGCCATCTAGCCCAGAAGTGATTGATGGTAGGACGAGGGATCACTGCAGGCTCCAGAACTTTCGTACGAGGAGGATGACCCATCATCTTGGCAAAGTTTGCCGCCCCCTGAACAGCCTGAGAAATCGGCAACTGAGTAGGGCGAACTGGAGGCACTTCTTGCCGCTGCTCCACCGCAGTCTGCAGCTCTTGTTGGCCCTTCTTCAAATCCGAGATCTGATCGACCATGCTGGGGATGAGTTCCATGAGGGAGTTCAGCTGCTCCGATAGGGCGGCAGTGGTCACCCGCTTCTTTCCAGCCTCTTTTGGCTTTTGATGAACGGGCGAGGGATCTGGGGTGATACCCCTGTCCCGAGGAGGCAGAGGAGCTGCTGTTGCCCCCCCTTCCTGCTGCGCCTCTCCCTCTTCCGCGGAGTAGAAAGCCGCCCGCTGACTTGCATGGCCTGTAATCCAATCTCTGGTCATTTCTACAAGGACAGCCGGGTCTGGGATGATGTCGAGGTCCTCGCCAAAGCCGATCAGCCCTTGGTCCTCTGTCTCTGGAACCAAGGCCAACGGAGTGAGAGCCCTCAAAGCCTCTGCATGTAAATCCACCACAAAAAGACTGATGTCTGTTCCTGTAGGCTCCATGTCTGATGAGGTCATCCGCACTCCAGCAATCTCCATGTGACAATGTGGACCAACTACATCGTCCTCGCTTGGATCTACTGGTAGGGTTCCAGCGGGGATCAAGGCGGATGGCACTGCAACCAACATGCCCCCCCCTGCAGATGACCTCTTCATAACCACAAGGCATAGACCTGGCCGGGACTGCACAAGGAGGGGATCTGGTGGCCAGAACAAACGGAAGAGCTCCACATTGTCCTCCACCAAAGTTGCCACTGTATCTAATTCCATTTGTACACCTTCTCAGGGTATGGGATGCCCACACCCAGGCAGTAGACCTTTGCTTCCGCTTTCGAAGCGAAACCGTGGGATAGGCTGCCACCCGACCTGAAGTCGCCCAGCAATGCACGGTAATCGCTGGCCTTTTCACAAATGACCGGCTCAACCAGTCCCTCGGCCTTGACGACCACGTAGGTAGTGTTGGCGAGATCGCAAGGGGATGACGGCCTTGGCTTGCCCACACGACCTTCGAGGGCGAACCTGCACCAGTATCCAGCAGACCAAGCCCTCTCTGCCCTCTGTTTGAAGGAAAGCCTCCCTCCGCGAAGGTTAGCACAAAGGCGAAGAGCTTCAGGAGAAAGATCAGGGATCTCACCTGCAAGGGAGTTGTAGGTCGAAGAGCTCGAGTGCGTCCTTGCCGGACTTGATTCCCTCGGGGGCGCGTTGACCAATTCAAAGCTATCAACGGAGCCGTGGCGCTTTCCTCCTTCCAGCTCGCCCACCTTCCTCTCCAAGATGTCCACCCGTAACACCAGTTGTTGAACTTGAAGCCTCAGGAGTTCAACAGCCGAGTCACTCATGCAAATACGCTAGGATGCGATCCGCACCCGGTGAGAGGCCTCCAGAGGGCCTTGGCCGATGAGCCTCAGGAGGATCAAGGGCAGAAGGACAGGAGAGGATCCCCAGCTTGAGGGCCAGGAGAACAGAGAGGGCGAGTCCTGAAAGGATGCCAAGAGCAAACCCAGCCAGCAAGGCCAGGCAAAGGGACCAGGCCGAAGATGGCCCGCAGTGATAAGGGCACGCGAGCCCCCACCAGTTGCTCTCCAAGCCAGACCTAAGTAGCCCCAGTACGGAGCTAACCGAAAAGGCTGCGGGCATCGAACCTTGAGCCCCGGCGAAAAAGCTTGCTCATGCTATATAACTCCTAAAGCTGACGTGGTGGGGATCAACCGCAAGCGGACTGTTGGCAAGCTCTGGTGGACTCAGGCTGCCCAGATTTATATACAGGACACGCGTGTGAAATCGACCATGCCAACGTAGCCTATGCCTCAAGAAGGGGCGGAAGTAATGGAAATCAAGGATCTCGGTCGTTCTCAGTCAGCTCCAGCCTTGTCCACCTCGTCACTGCTAAAAGGCACCCAAAGGCGAACAGGGAGCCGCCAGCCGCCCATCCAAGTCGGCCCATGGTGGAGCCGGTCCCGTCTGGGTGCATTCCCCCTTGAGCCACCCGAGAAACATTGCAAATATGATCCTGCTAGGCATCAAGGACTCAAAGCTTGCAACGAACTCCCAGCAGCTGAGGGGCAGACATACACTGGACGGTCATCGCAGCGGTGCAAACACCAAGAATCGGCAGGGACTACAAACAGGTGACATGCGGCAACTGTCTACTGAGGGTCATTGCTTTGCAGTGGGTCACAGGAGAATGTCACTGTGCACTAGTGTCGAAAGCTTGAGCCTCTCGCAAAAGGTGTCATATGAAAGTCCATGGCATATTTAGTTCCAAGGAACAATATTGAGAGCTGATCGGCAACTTCATTAACTTCCCGGCTCCTGCACCAGAATGGTTCGCAGGCTTTAGTCTTCATACTGTTTGGATGTTCTTGCTTCTCATCTGTGGACCCCAAAAAGACCCATGCTGTGCTTGAAGAAGAACCCCCCACACGCACCATCACGCACCGTTGTGGGCGTCGGGCGTCGCCACACGCGTCCGACTGTCTCCTGTGAACTTCCCGGCCCAAAATGCTGGGCCGAGGCGTTGTGCTGTTCACCGACATGGGCGGACTCATGGTGCCCATCGAGGAGTCGGACAAGGTGCTATCCTGAACGAACGATCCGATCGGTCGACGATGGGATGGGATGAGGATCAAACGAAAGCAAAAGGTCATTTTCTGTGTCACTGGAGATGTGATTAGCTGTTCTTGTTGGCATAAGCTTCAGTTGGTCCACGAAACTGGTGGTGCAGTCTGAACTGTTCGTGAACCATAGCATCTCTGGAAGCTTGCTGCTATCGTACAACCCGCCCACACACAAGCTCTTCAGCCGCAAGTTGGAGGAAGGTCACCCAGCTGTGTTCGTGCCAAGTGGCGCTTCTGACACGATGAATCGGATACCTTCAGCAGCTCAAGACCAAGGAGGTTGACAGGTTGAAAGCAAACATTGATGAAAACCTCTTCTTCTAGTTTTGACTTTTTTGGATGGCTCGAGTCCTGGGTAGGGGGGACGAGGACATAAGACTAAGAGATCATCACCCCGTCTTCAAGCCAAGCGTCGGATCCGAGCTTGAGGCTGGAAAGGCCTACCAAGTGGCACCAGCGGAGCGGAGCACTTGGATGACTCGGTGACGTTTTTTGGCTTCATGGTTGTTCACAGGACTGCTAGCAGCCTGCTAGCTGCTAGCCCGAAAGAACTCCTACAAAATGCTAGCTGCGCTGTTGCTTCCTCATGTTGTCTCATGTTTTTTCTCTCGCACGGCACCTTCCTATCTCAGTGTCCCCCATCATTTCTGGTTTATTTGGACGCTAATGTTGCATATATAAAGCTACCACCACCTTCCTCCAAAACCACATCGCAACCCTGTGGTTCCATTCCCACCTAAACATGCATTCAACTACTTCTGCCACCAAGGTTCTGAATGAAGGGCTGTCCCTGCTCCTTCTTGATGAGTGCCCACTGAGGGCAGCCTCATGGCTGCATTGAAACCGAAGAACCGCCGACAAAGCAAAATGTGAGGGCAAAATCGACAAGTTCTTCTGAGCCACCACCGATCTCTTCCGATCTCTTCCCCTATCTCCTCCCTGTGTCCAAGCAGCTTTGTTGGAGAATGCTTCTCCCGTTCATCCTCTTCAGCCACAGACTGAAGTGTGCCTCTCCTTGCCGCTCACCAGCTTGAAAGTTGGAGAACGCTGGACTTCGAATTTACGTTCTTGCAGGCGGGGGGGTGCTCACATTGCTTCACCTTCACTGGCTTTAGGGCATTGGCATGCATTGGCAACCTGGAGGCTCCTGGGTGAGCGCTTTCGCGTCAAGGCCCGCAGTAGGATGTCTTGGCTCTTCACCTTGCATCAATCATCGCGTGGCAAAAAAAGAATCCTAGTTCAGGCATGTCATCCCCCAAACTGATCATTTCTACATAGTACCTTCTAACCTCCAGTGGCCTCTCTTTTAAGGCATTCAACAAGCTCAAACCCAAAGCCTCAGGGCATCTCAGGGCATCTAAGACATTCTAGCAAGCTTAGCTTCCTAAGCTAAAGAACCGGCTTCCAGGCAAGCTTCGATTAGCGACAGCTCCTTGACATTTCTCTTCAACGGCGAGTGGACCGACCTCATGCAGCCCACGGCGCTGAAGGTGCACTTGCGAATCAATTGCTTGGATTTCCAACGCCAATCCACCGGAAGCCAACAAGTGGGCCCACAAGGCAAGCTGTAGCAGTTACTAGCGGCGGCCAACAGCAGCTACCAAACTCATATTCGCACTGCTTGAAGCACTGCTAAGCTGTAGAGGGATGTAGAGGGCATTCTGGGCTGGGAGACTGCAGATCTCCCCGCGGTTCAAATCTTCTACAAGGCACCGGTGCTCTGCTCGCAGCTCAGCAATCTGATGCGCTGCACGGTGCAACGCTTGGTAGACTTTGCCACCCTCAGCCTCACAGTGATCGAGTTTTGCTCCGAAATGCGAAGTATGTCTGGGACCTGTCTACCCTACACCTCTACACATGTTGTGCACCAACATCTTCACACCGTCTTAGCTCTAGGGATGCGCACACCGTGCAAAAAGCACGAAGCCCCGCCGCCTTCAGGGCGCCTAGGCCTGAGAGTTCCGCTGACGGATGGATTCGCAGCCGCCTGGGTGACTCAGGTCGACTGGTCGAGCGGGTCGATCCGACTGAGGCAAGCGCAGAAGAGACATTTTCCGCAGTGGCCAGCAAGCAAATGTTGCTCTGACCAAGGCCTGAAAGCAGGACTTTCCCAATGATATGCACAGGTGTCCAAGCGCTGCAGAAACGCCTCCATACAGCAACTGGTCTCTGGCTCTAGAGCGCTTTGCCGCCAGCCACAGCGCAAGTCAGCTAAAGCGGCTTGGAAGTCCTTGATGTCCTGGCAGCGGAGACTGGATCGGTCACCCTGTCGGTGTCACTGTCCAGCAAAAGTCCACGAGGGCTTTGGCTGTAACATAGATCTCGTTTTAAGCTGGCTTGTGGTGTTCATGTCATGCTTCAATGCTGTCCCCCTTCGCAGCAAAAATCATCGTGTCGTTCCATGCCTTTTGCCCTGAACTATCAGCTGCGGCTCGGTGGTGGTGAAACACCAAGTCACTATGGCCATCTGTCACTATGGGTGACTTGTGCTTCGTGATCTTCGTGTCCTTGCTGCAGTCATCCGGCTCCGGTGCAGATGTGACACTGCCACAGTGACAAAATCCAAACGAAGACAAGAAGCATCTCCGACCGCGAGCTCGAGCAGGAGCCACCTGCGTATGACAAGAGGACATTGAGGTTACTGAAAAGTTGCGTTCCACAGCTTCACTGCCTTCACTGCTTTGGCTTGTGCCAAAGGGGGCACCTGTGGATCCTGGATGCATGGGATGTTTCAATCGTGTCTGCCACGCAGTGCTTGGACATGTTCGACCCAAACAATCGTTTTATGCTTGGACGACTTGGATGTCTAAGCGCCAAAATGATATGTGCACACAGCGCGTTCCTACAATTATATAATGAGTGCTTCACGAGTGAGCAACACTCTGCAAATGGTTCAGAGGCAAACCAGGCACAAAGCAATCCGTTCAATTCAAATCCTCTCAGGAAAACTATGGCCAGGTCCTTGCGCTCTGATGTTCTGTGCACTTTCGGAGCTTCAGGTAAATCCTCACACGGTTGCAACGCTTGGGATGCTACTAGATGCTCCTAGACTTGCAACTTGGGAGCAGGCCTCATCCACCGGCATTTGCTCAGGCAAATCTTTCAGAATGGAGTCTAGGTCAGGCGTCAGCACCATCCTAGCACTCAGCCATGCCCTTCTTATGTGAGCCTGACAAGACCTCATGACTGCCTCGTGTTGATGTGCCCCAGGTTGAAGAATTCACCAGCAAGAGGGCAAACCAAAGCCAGGTCCTCAGAACACGATGTCCACTTCTTTGGAAGTGGGGAACTCATGGGAACCACATGAGACCATCCAACATCCAACCATTCTGAAATTCTGTCCTGCTGGAAGAAGGTCTCACAGCCTTGATCAACACAAAAGGAGACACCACCAATCTCCATTCGGACCTTCCCAGACCTGGGCACCAAAAGGGATATGGAATAACTCCAGTGCCCGCTGATGCTAGGGGAGACATTTGGTGCAAACAGGTTGTGCCCAGAAGCTTGTAGATTCTGAGCTTGCCGAGTTTGCCATCTGGAAGTCTAGTAATGGTCGAGCCTTTCAGGATTGCATCCCAGCATCCCGACTCCCAACCATTCCCAAACACCCTGCCCCAGCACATGCAAGACAGTCACAAAGGCTTCCCACCTGAGCCTGCTGACAGGGCATCTTCCTGCTCCCGGAAGACTTCGTCGTCCTAGCTTTACACAACTGGCTTTTCCAACTGGGCGAGGAAAATTAAGAGCGAAGGGAAGACTCACAGATTTGGCTCAGTCGCTGGGTTGCGCATTTCTGGAAGTACACATGGCAGCTGCATCAGAAAGTAGCTGTCTTCCAGTAGCTCCTGACATTCAAATCCAAACCGGTTGGAAGCCCCAAGGTGAACTTCAAACGTTCAAAGGTTGTTGCACTCCTCATGTGAGCCCACTAGCTTCTTTGCAGCCTTGGAGTTTGCTTCATCAATGTGGACAAGCTTTGGCCTGGGCAAGTCAGTCTGAACCAAAGGCAGTTTGGCCGTCATCACTATTTGGTTAAGTGAGAACTTACTCTCTTTCACCAAAGCTTCTTCCCTTGATCAGGCCTGGTTTTCGCCTGGGCAGCTCCGTCCGAAGTTCCGGCACCTTCCTCTTCGACAGTAAAATAGGGCAGGGAAATCCTGAGCTCGGAACCACCAAACTAAGAGCGAACTATACTAGGTGTTCTTCCTTTTCTGTCTTCTTTGTTACCGATAGCGATGGCCCGGCCTCCAACCTAATAGCGATGGCCTCCAACCTATTAATAGCCTCCGGCTGCAATCTTTCAAACGTTGGTTGCCAGGGTGCGGAGTGTAATGCTCCATGACTTGCCCGTCCACTACAGTCATCCTCTGTGAAAAAGCCAGGTCCATGAGCTCCATCGACCTGCAGATTTGGTCGATCGTACCCCTTGCCTAACATGAGCTGTGTGTGTGTGTATGTGTGGTTGGACGCTTCAACAAAACACAAGTCGGAAGGCAGTCGCAGTCTCCATTTCCTTCTCGCTGGTTCACAATTGTTACGTGAAACGCTGCAAAGGTTGCAAAATATAGTCCGTGGAAAATCAGCAGGCACCTGCAAATGCGGCTCACAAACAACTGCACAAATCGCCAAGGCAAAGCACGCCTTTACGACCTGTACCCGTGGCTGTCCAATTGGACATGCTACTGCCTTGCAACTGTCAGGAATCGATCGCTGCGAATTGTTGCAGTGTACTGTGGAACATCTGGTGGCCTCACGCTGGCCTCAAAAAAGGCAGACTTGCCATTGCTCACAGTAATGTTCACCTCTGCTTCAGAGCACAAAGGAAATGGGTCCGAGGAAAATGGCAACAAATCACCCAGCTTCGCGGTGAAGTTGCCTCCGTGCTTGGAGGCATAGGCATGTTGTGCATAATAGATTGCCATTGCAGCACTTCGGCTCGGCCACTCTAAGTAGTAGGCGCTCTTCGTCGCGTTGACGTTCAAATCCGCAAACTGCAAAATACCCCAGCGCTCAGGCAAGTGCATAGCAATTTCATACTGTGGCGACCACACCCAATTGTCTTCATGGGGTCCTCCTGGTGTTGGGCATGACTGGCACGAGGGGCTTTTCTCATAAGCTCCAGTTGAAGAGTTCACCTTTAGGTGCCACTCCACACGGCTGAAACCAATTCGCCAGAAGGTTCCCGGCTTCGGTAGCTGGGCACCTGTTTCCTGCACCAGCTCAGCCAGAGGTAGCGCAACTTCAGCTGTCCAATGCCTACCCTTCGTGCTGGGATGATTCAGGGCCTCTTCCGGCAAAACTTGGGCAGCACAGCGCAACGGTGGCTCCATGGTCCAGCCGCCCTTGGGGTCCACTCGTGTGGAATTCTCAAAGCCACCATCCCCATAGGGCTTGTTCATCATCAGCATCCAAGTTGTGTTGAAGGCATTCATCTCAAACTCTTTGTAAAAGTGGGTGGTTGCGTTGGCATCAACGAACACCTCAAAATCATTATCATGGTAAATGATACTATCATGCTCTCGCAAAGTCGCCCATGGTTGAGGCTCTTCCATCTCTGCAGCTACGTAGAGGAAGCTGTCATCCCAACGCATCTTTGCACGCGTTCGAAGCCACGGTCTAGTTCTGGTGGAAATGTCCACAAAGTCCTGTGTCCACGCCACCTCCCGCCAAGCCTTTTTCGTCAGATCCCCTGTCAGCTTCTCAGGGGAGAGCTCCGAGGTCTTGTAGGCGACATACTGCTGCGGATAAATTTCACTGTAGCTGCATGCACCTTCGTGCTGTGTAAGCACGAAACCATCCGCAAGGCTCAACCATAGGAGCCACCGCACGGCACGCATGCTCTTGTCTGTCTTAGGTATATGGGGGCCAACGCATCATGCTAGATTTTGCGGGATTTTGTCTATGTCGCTGATATGATGAGTTGGATTCAACTGATCTGGGTGGGCCGAAAGGGACGAGCTCTTCATCATTTTAGCCTTTCCAATTTTATGAAATCCTTCTACAAGAAACCGCTCCTGGCCTGCCATCCTTTCTCTCCTTGGCTTTTCGAGGCGCACCGCTCGTTCCGGGCATGCTGGAAGTCCTCAGCGATGAAGAATTTGTTGTTCGACCACCGAAAGACCCCCGTTTTCGTGGCACCAAAGGCTCTCGTTGTAGTCTGGTATCTTCGGCCGAGATGCATGCCGAAGCTCTTTAAGGACATTCCTGTGAACCGCTCCTGATTCGCTGAAAAGCGAAATCAAACAACAGCCAGGAACAATGCAAAAAGTACGTGTAAAAAGAACTCGCGCGAATGCACAGGTTTTGCAAAGGCACTGGAAAACACTTGTGAGACACAGCGAAATGGAAGTGAACACATCAGCCAAGCTGCCGGAACGTGGCTGGGCGCACTGGATCGGCCGGCGGCAAATTCTTGGCTCTGGCGCCGGGCGGCTGCATGCAGCACGCTACCAACCGACTCCTGCAGCCGGTTGTGACATGTTGCGTTGTGACAGGAAAGGTGAGAAAAACATGTGAAGATGCTTTGCTCAAAACAAAGAAAACCCATTGCTGGGATAGGCTTGGAGCCTGCTTTACCCATGAAAGATCCTGTTGCTCAATCAGTTTCAACATGTCTCGACTGGGCATGTGAAAACCCATTGGAGAAAGTACCTTGCCTCGGGATCCTGTGAGGCCAAGCTGGCCTTCTCGACCTAAGTTTAATAGAAAGAGCTATGTAAACGGATCTAAACGGCCAGTATTTAGCATGTCGGTCCAACGGGCAAAAACATGGATGGGTTGATTTGTGGCAAAGAGAACCACTCTATCTATCTATCTATCTATCGATCCATCCATCCATCCATCCATCCATCTATCTATCTATTATATCATTATATCTATCTATCTATCTATCTATCTATCTATCTATCTATCTATCTATCTATCT